AATCGGGCTCATTGCCACGAAGTGTGTGTTTAGCGGTAGAGACGTAACACTCGGGCAGAGACTCAAAAACGTGATCTTCGCGTTGGGCAAGAGATCGACTGTTTCTCAAGTGTGCTTGGCGTATGGATCTTCTCCTTCGTTGAGCGATATTCTTTTGGCCCGTTTCAAAGCCTTGGCTAAAACATCGTCGGCGCTGGTTGGATTTTCCTCCATCATGGACCTTTTACGACATGACACATATCGTGTTGACCCGGGTATGGGGATTTTAACTCGTTGAACGAGTTTGATGGAGTCTGAGCACATTCCTTTAGAGAAAGGGATTTTTGAGCGGTCTTGGCTAAAGGAGAGGGCTTCATTCGACACTGTAGCAATAGTTAACATTTTGATCTCTTTGAAGATTTTGTATACGTTGCACCTAGCTTTGGAGCTAAGCAATCTAGAGGAGAGTGTTTCCTCGTACTTGGCTTGATCAAATTCTACGACGAGAGTTTCGACCGTTGTTTCAGTGAGATTGATGTCGGATTGTGCCATCACTTCTTCATTAGTGAAGCTAGTCCCTAGCAGAGTCACCATCTTTTGTTTGTTTGAAAATTTGTAATAAAAAATGAAAGAGCTGTGTTTGATTTTATTCTCTCTAACTGCTTAGAAAAAGAATGTTTACAACTCTCTTAATCTCAATTAAAATTTGGATTTCATGATTATAAAAGAGAAGAGAATCGATCTGAATTCTCCCCTTTGTTTAATTCTAGGTTCTTTACAGTGGCGATGGAGTTACTCCCTCGAATGCTCGTGTCGAGTTTGCTCTTCGTTGACGATCCGTACATCTCAATTCACTAGAACGATTGAAGAAACTCTTAACGAGATTTGAGAACTCAGAACGATTTCAAACTCTATCCCCAGAGTTGTTTGAACCATAAATCGGTTAATAGCCATGTATCCAAACTATTCTACTACTAAAAAGTACTTTTAAAGCCCAAGCCCTGATCTCGCCTCCAAGAAATCCGATCCTGAACTCAGTTGAGCTTGTTGATATTTATATCAAGATTAAGGGGTGTAACTACCCTCTTAATCCATTCCATAATTAGGGTTTAGTTGCCCCATTAATTAGGGATAAAAACCTACTTAAACCACTCCCCAGATCATGGGTAAAAAATAGATTCCGGAACTGTTTACATCACGTTTGAACGAGTCAAAGCCTTGATTTGCATTCTGGGAATGAACCTGCGTTCAAACATATGTATTTAGATGATGTGTCAGTGTCCGAGCTTGAGCTGTGTTAGTATTAGCTGATAAGAAACTGCATCTGCGATTAAATTAGTGCCTCGTTTGTTCTGTGTCAACGGCTATGACCGCGGTACGTGGGAGCTACATTTGCACTGCGTTTGTGCTACGTTTGAGCTGCGTTGATGGCTGAGGATGCAATGATTGTGTTTCTTTGACTCTGGAAAGTAATCACTTGCGTTTCAGCTCTGGGATGCAAGGATGAATTCTACATCTTGGATTGAAGAGATCATTGACTTGTAATCTCTTCTGTCATAGCATCTTAAAGATCATTGTTCTGTAATCTTTGCTTTAGCTTTTTAAAATGTGAGAGTTGTTAGATTGTAAAGACTATTGAATCAGAGCTTTTCATCGATTGTCGCAAAGGTCGTTGTATTGTAATTTTTCTCGATCTACGGGAAAATCCTCCAATTATAGCCTTCCTTTGTTGACATGAAAGTCATCTGTTTGTAACTTTCATTATGAAGATGCTGATATAGAAGTCGTCAGGTTGTAACTTCCATCCTTTACGTTCAATGGTTATTAGCTATCTGTCATGATTTTTAGACAGTCTACAATTACTTTAGAAAAGTTTTTGCATAAAGATTCATTAGTGGCACCAAAAATAATATCATCCACATAAATTTAAACTAAAATGAAATCATTTTTCCGTTTTCCAACAAAAAGATTATTATCAATTGTTCCTTTTGAAAAACCATTTTTAATGAGAAATTTTGAGAGGCGAGCATACCAAGCTCTAGGAGCTTGTTTTAACCCATATAAAGCTTTTTGAACCCGGTATACATGATTGGAAAAGATGAATCAATAAAGCCGGGAGTTGCTTAAAATAAACCTCTTCTTCAATAAATCTATTTAGGAAAGCACTTTTAACATCCATTTAAAATAATTTAAAATTTTTAAAACTTACAAAGGCTAAAAACATTCTAATAGATTCCAATCTTGCAACCGGTGCAAAAGTTTTATAATAGTCTATGCCCTCCTCTTAATTGTATCCTTGGGCAACTAAATGAGCTTTATTTCTAGTTACTATGCTAAACCCATCAAGCTTATTTCTAAAAACCCATTTAGTTCTAATAATAGAAGTATTATTTGGTCTAGGAACTAATTTTCAAACATCGTTTCTTTGAAAATTATTCAATTCTTCAAGCATAACTAAAACCCAAAACTCATCTTTTAAAGCATCATCAATACGTTTAGGTTCTATTTGGATAAAAACGCTACATTACCACATTCACTCATTGCTTTTGAGCGAGTCAAAACGCCTTTGGATGGACTCCCTATAATTCGGTCTTTAGGGTGATCCGGTACAAACTTCCAAGCCTTGGGGAGTTCTTCTTAAGTTTGTTTATTTATGTTCTTCCCATCAATTGGTGCGTTCGTTGAGGATTTATCATTTAGTTATAAGAGCTTCATTCCTTCCTCAATCTCATCATCATCCCTAGGCAAATTTTCTTGCAAACTAATATTAGATTCATCAAAGGAAACGTTTATAGACTCTTCAACAACGAGTGTTCGTTTGCTAAAAACTCTATAAGCCTTGCTTCTAGGTGTATATCCCAAAAATATCCCAACATCAATTTTTGAATCAAATTTATCATGGTGGTCTTTAGTATTTAAGATAAAGTATTTACAACCAAAGATATGAAAATATCCAATTTGTGGAGTTTTGCCAAAAAAAGAGTTCATAAGGAGTTTTCTTAAAAGAATGTCTAATCAAAACACGATTACAAGAGATGGCACGCACAATGATAAACTCTTTAATTTGCCAAAATATATATATATATATATATATTTTGGCAAATTAAAGAGTTTATCATTGTGCGTGCCATCTCTTGTATGGTTCTACTTTTTTGTTCAACAACCCCATTTTGTTGGGGTATTCTAGGAGCAGAAAACACATGTGTTATGCCACGACGAGCACAAAAATCATTAAAGAATTTGTTTTGAAATTCTCCACTATGATCACGTTTAATTTTAACAACTTTTAAATCTTTTTTATTTTTAATTCTTTTTACTAAATGAGAAAACTCTTCAAAACATTCAACTTTATTAGCAAGAAAAATTACTCATGTAAAACGAGAGAAATCATCAACAAAAACAAAAACATAGTGTTTGCCTCCTAGAGAGGCAACACGCATGGGTCCAAAGAGATCATGATGCAATAATTGTAAAGGTTTAGAAGTGGATACCTCGTTTATGGATTTTAAGGAAGTTTTAGTTTATTTACCCTTAGCACATTCCTCACAAGTAGAATCCTTAATATAAGATAGATTTGGTAACCTTCTTACTAAATTCTTCTTGGATAGCTTAGATATAAGCTTCATGTTTGCATGTCCCAGTCTCTTGTGCCAAATCCACGGATCCCCATCTACCAAGGCAAGGCACTTTATATATTGATCTATTAGCTCATTCATCTCAAAAATATAAACATTAGATCTTCTAAAAGCAACAAAAATAGTTTTATCATTCATACTAATAACCCATTTATCCGGTTTAAAAGAAATGTTAAGTCCTTTATCACTTAATTGACTAATGCTAAGGAGATTGTGATTTAGTCCTTTAACAAAATAAACATCCTCAATTATGTAATTGACTAATGCTAAGGAGATTGTGATTTAGTCCTTTAACAAAATAAACATCCTCAATTATGGGAGAATGTACCTTACCAATATTGGAGATTGTGATTTAGTCCTTTAACAAAATAAACATCCTCAATTATGGGAGAATGTACCTTACCAATATTACCAATATCTACAATTTTACTTTTCTCACCACCACCAAAGGAGACATTGCCTCCTTCAATCCTTGATAGGGTTGCAAATAGTTCCTTGTTATCCGTCATGTGATGTGAGCAACCACTATCAAGGTACCACAACTTCTTACGTCTTGTGTGAGATGTTCCCTATATATGAAGAAGTTGTAGAACCATTAGATACCCAAACTTTTGGTCATTGAACGTTAGTATTTTTGGTACCCTTAGGTACCCACATTAACTCATAATGATCAATGTTATTTTTTATCCTACAATGAGTAGAGATATGACCATATTTCGTGCAATATGTGCACGAAAACCTTTTCTTAGATGTAGGAGCATGAGATTGATGATACCATTTTCTATCAACATGATGATGACTAGAATAACCATGATTAGATTTAATTCTATTGATTTCAATTTCTAATCTTTCAACTTTAGATCTTAGTTGTTTGTTTTCAAAGTCTAGATCTCCTATCATTTTATCTTTTAAAGGAAGAGAAGATTGTAGTTGCTCATACTTAGAATCACAAGAAACTTGTAATTTTTTGAATGAAGAATATTCTTTTGCTAATTTTTTAAATTCAAAGTTTAATTCTTCTAAAGCCGCTTCTAGTTCACATTGCATATAGAGAGATTCACTTTTGGTTTCGGATTGTACCTCATCTTCATGAGCCATGAAGCAAATGTTCTGATCATGAAGAGTAATCTTGGTGCCCTCATCATCACTATCCGAATCACTTGGTTCGGACTCATCCTAACCGGCATACATAGCCTTCTTCTTCTTATATTTCAAATACTTCTCCTTGAGCTTGGGACAATCCTTGGCTAAGTGTCTCGGTTCGTTGCATTCAAAATATTTACTTATACAAGAAGGAAATTTGTTGTTAGATCGATTCTTAAAATTTTTATTCATTTTGATTAATTTTGATATTCTTCTAGAGAGGTGCGCCAGTTCTCTAGAGACATCATCTTCACTATCCGAGGAGGATGAGTCAATTGCTCCCTTGAGGGTGGCACCTCGGCTGCCTTTGAGGGTGCTTCTTCCTTCTCCTTAACCTTCTTCTCATGTACCTTGAGCTTGCCAATAAGTCCATTAAGAGTGGGAGTAGATAGATCATGTGCTTCTTTAATGGCTGTAGCTTTAGGTTCCCAAGCCGGCATCAAAGAGCAAAGAATTTTGTAGCACATCTCTTGATTCTCCAAGACCTTATCAAGACCATGCAATTCATTTATAATATTAGTGAATCGAGAAAACATAAAGTCAATAGAATCACTTGGAAGCATTTTAAATAATTCATAATCATGTATGAGTCCACTAATTTTAGACTGCTTCACTTGGGGTGTTCCCTCATGAGTAATGCATAACTTCTCCCAAATTTCGTGTGTGGTTGCACATGTAGAAACTCTCTTATAATCAATGGGGGTAAGACCACAAATTAGTGCATTCATGGCCTTAATGTTAAGGTTAGCTAGTTTCCTCTCATCCTCGGTCATTTCACTACTAAGCTTCTTGACATATTTTTTCTCCACAATGTCTAGGATATCAAGGTCAATGCATTGTAAACAAATTCTCATCCTAGCTTTCCAATAGGCAAAGTTGCTACCGGTGAAAAGGGGTGGCCTAGTCGTGGATTGTCCTTCTAGCATATGTATATTCCTAGAAGCCTCCATAATGATCTTTTGTCTAAGGAGTTTAAGCCTAACAACAATAGAGACCTTGCTCTGATACAAATTGAAAGGCCCTAGAGGTGGTGAATAAGGTTTATGGACAAATAATATACAATTAAAAGATATTCCAACAAACCACACACAAATATGAAATGCAATGATAATAAAAGAGGGTAGGGATAGAGATAGTTAGTCAATTGATGACACACGGTATGTTCATGAGGTTCGGTCCGCTGACCTACGTCCCCGCTCCCTACTCTCGAGGAGAAATCCACTACACACCTGGTTTGGAAGACGGAACTTATTCTACACAACGATCTTCACCTAGATCTCACAACCACATAATAGATCTCCACGAGATCAAGCTCACAATAGTAGAAAATCAAAGAGAAACTCTCACTCTTTACAGTAGCCCTATGGCAAGAGATAAGAGATTTGCAATGAAAGTTTGGTTACTGAAGTAGTTGGGGTTGTTGGGTATTTATAAGAAGAGAAGACAACAGCCAAAACCCCAAAGAACCAGTGGAAATCCTCTAAAAACCGAGAAACAGATTCTGAGAAAAACTAGCTGTTAGACTGCTTATCAGTCAACTGACGGGAATCATCAGTCCCAGCTCATCAGTTGACTTATGATCATTTTTAGTCGACTGACAATTCACCAATCGATTGGTCAGTTGACCAAAACAGAACAGAAACTTTTGATAATTACAGGTAGTTTCATCAGTCGACACATCAGTCGACTGATGTCATCAGTCGACTGGTCAACCGACTGATATCAGGTTATCAACCTGAATCGATTTTGAAATTAAGTTTCAAGGCTCTGTTAAAAATAGTAAATAAACTCCAAAAAAATGTAAAACTTTGGGAATAGTTTATAAACATTTTGATAAACTTGTTTGAAAATAAATTTTGCAAAAAGGTCCTCGTATGTGTGAAAGTCATCATTTTAGCAAAAGTACCAAAATACGAGTTTTGAAAGTGTGCAATTGTGATATCACATGAGCTTCAAATGTAATCAACAAACTACTTACCTACATTAATTACTAGAGAGAAAAATAAAATAGCAAATATCCCTCACTGATACGGGTGTATCTTCTCTTCGGGAGCTTAGCGATCCTCATGAAAGCTTGAGGATGGATGATTCTCATGGTATCTTGAGAATAGAGTAGAGGAGTCGTGGACGAGGCTATTGGAGGCGACGAAGCCACAGTTGCAAGGATTTCGTCAAAGCTGCAGGTATTTGCAGCTTGACTCTGGCCGCGTCGACCGCCTGGTCACGGCGGTCGACCGCTTAGCTGCACAGGCCCTCAGACTATGGGTCTCGAGGGATATGAAGACGGTCCGCACCGATCTGAAGGCTTGGTGGATCCGACGGAACCAATTTTAAGCAGGGTCGGGGGAGACCAAACACCAAACGATATGCGCTGCGAGATCGCACGGAAACATTGACATCTAATCATATTTCCGTTTTTGTCGTTTCCTGACCGGTCGCACGCCCTTGGGCACTGCGGTTCGACGCATATGCAAGTTCCAGGAGCTGGGTCTGTTTCACTGGCCCCTCTAGTTTGGAGATTTCGTTCTAGGCTATAAAAATAGAACACGCACTTTCTCTAGGGTGAGAAACTCAGTTTCGCCTAATCAAAAAAAGAGAATAGGAGAGGTCTGCTTCTTTGATAAACTAAGAGCAGATTGATGAGCAGAGAGTTTTGTAAAATCCAATTGATTCTCATACATCTAGCAGAAAGGTATTATATCCTTTCCCCTAAATATATAACTCTTGTGTTCCTTCACGTTCGTTTTCTTGTTTACCCCACTTTTGATAATTTCGCAGATCAAGAATGTGCTCGAAGCCGATCAACTCGCGATCAAGTTCGGTATCACTTAGGCACTAGATCCTGTGAAGCGGAGGGAATGTGTATGGTCCTTTACATCGCGTGTCACAGTACAAGAAGCTTGGCGAGATCCACTTAATTCCTCGGTTGGAGCGGGTCAAGAATTAAGGAAGACGAGAAGTGTCTACAAGCCGATAATTCAACAAACTTGATGCCTATGGAGAAGCACGATTTGAAAGAACGATCGGGACCACCGACTCCTTAAGCACCAACTCGTGGTCCATCAACGGAGAAGCAGACACCCAAAGTGAGGAATCTTTCTTACGAAGGAGTTAAAAAGAATGGGTGACTCTCTCGAATCCGATGAGGACGAGCGCAGAAGCTAGATTCGAGGAGCGAGACTGAGATTTGTTTGACCCCTAGAAGCGGGCCGTCACGGGGGCGTGATTAGAAGGTCTATATGCATAATCTTAATCCGATTATATGCCCAATTAAAACTAATAAAATTATCCTACAAGTATGGAATACCAAATAATACTATAATGAGCCTAGAGCCATAAGCAATATACAATATGAATATCCTAGCCAAAGGATAAAGACCCAAAAAATATATGCTAAGGAATATACTAAGACTACACAACGAGGGTAAACAATATAAAACTTTAGATATGTGGATCATAAAAAGGATGAAATAATCCCAAATGGCGAACTAAGATAAACTGCAAAACAAACTAACGCCAAGACCAAACTAAATAAAGCAATAATGATCCACGGAGTCGAAAAAACCTTCCGTCCTACGTCCTCGTTTACCCACTCCCGGGGAGAAAATCCACTCACCAATCCGTGTTTGAGAAGCCGAAACTTCTTCTACACATCGGTTTTTCTAGCTACACGAAAACTCGGGCAACATAAACAATTTATGCAATCACCAATCTAACAACCCACTAAGTGATTGCCTCTGGACCTAAGCCGTTGTACTCCTTCAAGTAGCTCGGTTACAAACCTCTCCCTAGGCACCTGATCACGACGCCATTTCTCTTAGGATGATCCCGACTCATCACACCCAACATCCTCACTCGCTTAGTGATGTACAAGCTGTTTATTAAAAAGTGAATCTCCTAAGGCTCAATACATAATTGAATGTTCTCAAATTTATGGATGCAGAACACAATGAAGACAATCAAGGTTATAATCTCTCACCACCCAACTATACTATGTATGAAAGATACAATAAGCTCAATGTGGGTGTGTGTAACAATGAGTAAAATAAAATCTAATTTAAATGGCAAACTAGCAATAATAAGAATATGAAAATCAATAACGAAATTGCTAGAGAAAAGAGTTAGAAAACTTCTCTATAAACACAAAGAAGAGGATGAAGAGGATTGAGAATGAATCCCTCAATCTGCAGTGAAAACTTCCTCCTTTGTAAACAGAAACCCAATCTTTTAAACAAACAGTAAAACCCTAAACCCTTGTTTGGGGTATTTATACCCTCTCAAAACTCAGCCAAAAACCCAAACAAAAAGACAAAACAGTCCCCAGAAGACAGCTCAGAAAAATAGCCGTTAGTGTCTAACGGATCTATTGTCGGTTGACCGACAGATCGTTCGGTCGACCGAAAAAAAGAATTCGGGCGACCGACGAAAAAATTCGGCCGCCGGGGAGCAGGTCTGAAAAAACAAAAACCAAGCAGAGACTTCGTCGGTCGACCGGTGCGGTCGACCGATGGAGCTTTCGGTCGACCGGACCGGTCGACCGACCAACTCTCT